TGAAAACAATATGTACAATTTGTATCATGCTAGCATGTATTTAAGAAATCATATTATTTCTGTGGAATCACCAACATCTTGGCCTCCTAAGAGCAACAGTGTAACTACAGAATGTGCTATGAAGATAATTCCTGTAGAACTTTTTAATGCATTGGCATTGATGTGTGGTCTTTCTGATAAAGTTGAAATGAAGAATAGATTTATTACTGTGTCTGAGAAAGATAAGAGAAAGCTACTTGCCATAGCACAAGATATTCTGAACCTTTCTCACAGAGGAAATTTGTTTTTACCAAAGCATTATGCACTGGGAATGGCTGTTCAACACTGGACTGGTCAGTCAAAACTTATAGGCATTTTGAATGGATTTGGACACTCTATAAGCCACAGCACAACTCTAGAACTGGATACGGCTTTGGCTGAACAACAACTATCAAAAAGTAACATTCCAGAGGGTTTTAAAAAGAAAACTTTTACACATTTAGCCTGGGATAATAATGACTTTGGAGAAGAAACTCTGAGTGGTAAGGGAACAACCCATAATACAAATGGGATCATAGTGCAGCAGCTAACTTCTGATCACTTATCACATATTGAAGATGTCACAATAGAAAAAGACCAGCCCCAAATGATCAGGAGTAAGAAGCGCAGTGTGATGCTAAATGAAGCGCCCATACCAGAATATTATGTGGCAAAAAAGTACTGTGAATGCAGTATTTTTGAAAAGTCTTGCTATTGCTGATGAGCTTGAAACTGAATGTATTGTATTAACATTTGATCTTGCATTTTATGCTAAAGCACAGCAAGTACGTTGGAATGATGCCATGTATATGCAAAAAACAGTTGTCAGACTTGGTGAGTTCCACACTTGCATGTCGTTTCTCAGTGTCATTGGAAAGCGCTTTGAAGATTCGGGGCTAGCTGATGTCCTACTTGAATCTGGAACAGTGGCACAAGGATCACTACTTGGAGTCAGGCAGGCACTATAATCGAAGTGTCAGAGTCATAAAAATTATGTCTGAAGCCTTAAGGAGGAAACTCCTATCTACTTTTATTGAAACACAAAGTGAAGAAGAAAAAGCTAAATTCATTGCATTGTCTAAAAAATTTATATTATGCTTTTCCCAAAATACAATTCCAAGATCTCTGCACATCAAATGATTTTAAAGAGTTTGAAAGCAAACTATCCTTATTTATTCAAGAGAGATGCAGCCAATTTCCAACTTTTGCATTTTGGATGAGTTACTTGAATATGGCAGATTTGTTTTTAAATTTTATTCGTGCTACACGAACAGGAGATTGGGCCCTTCACCTTAAATCAGCAGCAGAAATGGTACCTTGGTATTTTGCATATGACCATTTGAACTATGCTAGATATCTTCCTGTTTATATCTGTGAGATGCTTGCTGTTCCAGATACCCACCCTGCAATAGCAAAGCATCTTGCTGCTGGGGATTTTGTAGTTCAGCAACAAAACCAGTACCCCTTTAGTCAGACGGCAATGGACCAGACGATTGAACAGACAATGAATAGAGATAGCAAGACCAGAGGTGGGCAGATTGGATTCTCAAATAACGACAATGCTGTTCATCCTTGGATTTTATCTTTTAATCAACGTGCTCAAATCTCTAAAAACTGTACTGAAATGGCTGGAAAAGGAGAGGGCTGCTATAATAAAAAAGACCTTAGTAGTTCCCGATATCAAAAGGATGAAGCAGATATTCAGAGTGCCATGCAGACAATTGAGTCTATGCAAAATCCATTTGCATATTGTGAAAAAGAATTAATTAACATTGCATCTGGCCAAGTAGCATCTTCTGAAATTAAAGATGACATTTTGACAGCACATGAACAAGGCTGTAATATTTCTAATCAGTTTTTTCAACAACGACTAATTTTGAAAAATGTATAGTTGAATGCACCATTAAAATCAATGAAGATAAAAACTTTTAGTGATCTTCAGAAAAAGCATTCACAACAAAAGAGCAAAAAGGATGCAGATTGCTTGAAAGCAGATAAAGACCTTCTCACTAGGCTTCTTATAGTAGCAAGAACCCGAAAAGTTGACCTGAAAGAAATTTTTTCACATTGCCTTTCACAGTTCCCATCTAGCCTCAGTAACATTGATGGTTCTTTGCAGCGTACCAACAAAGCTGCATTATTTCATTATTTTCTTGTAAAGTTTCCTGATATGAATATTAACAATATTCCAAAAAATGCAGCACTGATATTAGATGGAATGGCAGTAATACAACAGCTTGCAGACCATGTTCCATCAAGGTTTGGTGAGCTAAGTATTTATGTTTTTAGATATGTAATCAAGCTTGCTTCTACTTATATGTCATCAAGAGTTGACTTTGTCTGTGATAAGTACAATCCATGGAGTATTAAAGACTCTGAAAGAAGACGCCGTTTGATTACTCCATGCCACCTGTTACGTGCTCTGAATGAAAAACAGAAAACACCGGTACAATTTCGAAAATTCCTCATGTCTGGTGAAAAT